TGCAGTTTTTGTTTTTGCGAATCCGCGAGAGGCCCCTATTGTGCGCTTTTTCTCATCTCAGACGCCTCTCGAGTGCGGTTCGCGCCCACGCTGTTCTCGTGTGAACCCACCAGAGGCCGCTGTCCGACTGACCGGATGATTGACTGCGCGACCGGCCAATCGGCTGACCCGCCCTCCTCCTTCCCTGAACCCAACCAACTGATTGACCCGCCCGCCTGCTCGCTTCTCTAAACCCGAGCAACAGTTTACAAAAGCCGTCCAAAAAAATAAAAGCCCTGATTTTTTTTTTCTACCGCGTTTTCAGATTTCGCCACGTTCTCACCGTTACGAAACTCGTTCACTTAATTTTTGGGATTCTGTTTTTGTCTTACCTGATTGCTGGAACCGCTCTTCCCCAGACTCGAAACAGGTCGCCATGGTCGACTCCTCTCTGCAGCTCGAGCCTGCCGACGTACACGCTGAGCTGAGTGGACAAACGGGTTGCACCGGGAAAGCCCTCCACAAGGAGGTAAGCGGTCAGCTGGCAAGCGCGAAAGGGAACAGCGTCACACGGCCCCGCAGCATTCGCTTGAAAAACATTAACATTAACTTCGCTTGAACTAATTAACTAATTCGCTTGAATAACATTAACATTAACATTAACACTGCCGGGACGATTCCGATGTCTCCAGAAACGTCCGCGGGACTACGTTTGAAAAAAATTAACTACGTTTTCAGAATGAGCTTGGGTTGACTATACCACATACAAACATTTCAACAAACACAAAGCAAGCTACCAGAAACAAGATGGCTGCCAAGAAAGTAGTGTCATGACTTTTTAAAATACTGTAGGCCAATCAGGAGCAAGTTAGCTGGAAGTGGCCAATTAGATGTGGTCCAAGCAGAACAGAAAAAACAGAAAAAATAAACTGATGAGACAAGACAAACATAGGATTGTAACACACACACACACACACACACACACACTCATACACTACAGTCAATTTAGTTAATAAATTCCCCTATAGTGCATGTGTTTGGACTGTGGTGGAAACCGGAGCATCCAGAGGAAACCCACGCCAACACGGGGAGAACATGCAAACTCCACACAGAAACGCCAACTGACCCAGCTGGGACTCGACCAGCGACCTTCTTGTTGTGAGGCGAGGTGACAGTGCTTACCACTGAGCCACCGTGCCGCCCAACAACTCTTTAAAAGTCCATTTTCTGTTTAATCCAACATTCTACAGCTAACTCTATCAAGCCTCTTCAGCTGCTCCAGAACGCAGAACGAGTGGTCTTTAATGAACCTAAAAGAGCACATGTCACTCCGCTGCTCATCCGTTTGCACTGGCTGCCAGTTGCTGCTCGCATCAAATTCAAAGCTCTGATGTTTGCTTACAAAGCGACTTCTGGCTTTGCTCCTTCTTATCTGCTCTCACTTCTGCAGATGTATGTGTCCTCCAGAAACTTGCGTTCTGTGAATGAACGTCGCCTCGTGGTTTCATCCCAAAGAGGGAAGAAATCACTTTCCCGAACTCTCGCATTCAATCTGCCCAGTTGGTGGAATGAACTCCCTAACTGCATCAGAACGGCAGAGTCACTCGCTGTCTTCAAGAAACCACTAAAAACTCAATTATTTAGTCTCCACTACACTTCCTAATCTGCAATTGCCTCTCTGGATATACCACTAACTGTACTAAAAAAAAATTAATTACTAATGCTTTGCTTCTTAGACTTTACACACCTGAAACTTGCCTACATCACTTATTCATTGTTGCTCTTATAGTTGTGTAAATTGCTTCCTTGTTGTCATTTGTAAGTTGCTTTGGATAAAAGTGTCTGCTAAATGACTAAAAGTAAATGTAAATATCAGGAGAAACTCAAACAGATTTGGAACAAGTGAAGGAGGAGTAGATGATGGGATTTTTCATTTTTGGGTGAACTGCCCCTTTAAAACTGACCAGCATCATCAACATCAGGCTTGTTTTCATTATTACAATCAAGATGTTATTTAGTTTGCATTTATTCGATGTGACTTTGGCGTTGAATATTTACCATGATCAGCTCTCTCTGAGCTCCAGCAGTGTATAATCCGTCAGTTAGTACAAGCTGACGTCTGTTCTGCTCTGTGTTTCTCTCAGCGACGGCCTTGAACGCCTCACTTCTGCTGCTGAATGCATGAATTCAGACGCTGCTCTGTATCCATCCGTCTTTTAACTGGAATAAGAAATGTTCTTGCGTGAGTGTTACGCAAGCCTGTTTCATGAGGAGCTCTCTGCATAATGGTTGTGTGTAGGTGTGTGTGTTTCTCTCTCATCGCTGTGTAAAGCAGCTGTTGAACCAGAAACGCATCATGTTCCTATTGCTGATTGAGATTCAGCTGAGATGGACACATGAATGATGCTGTATTTCACATTCAATTGTATAAAGACTGGAGCTGTTTTAAAGGAGACCTATTATGCTCCTTTTTACAAGATGTAAAATAAGTCTCTGATGCCCCTAGTGTGTGCATAGGAAGTTTCAGCACGCAGATAATGTTCTCAAACTCTCTGACCCTTTTAGGCTTTGATCCTGGTGTTTTGGTGACTGTCGCTTTAAATTTAAATGAGATTGTACTCTTTTCAAAAGAAGGTGGAGCTACAAATGCCTGTGTGTCAGCATAGTGGCAGATTCAAATCTGTAATGGTGGACAGCTGCTTCTCACTCAAGTGTTGTTAATGCTAATGAGGGAGAGATGGTCACTAGTGGGCGGGGCTTTCCTCTGATGACACGTACAAAGGGAGAATGTCAATCAAAGTGTTTCTGCACACCGTTTTGATAATATGTAATTATTTGGATTATAACCAGAAACACTTTAGCAAGCAAGCCACATTGGTTAACATTAGTTAACTCTGTCCCACTTTATATTAAGTCGGCCTAAATATTAGGTACTTAAGTATATAGGACAAACAAGTAAGTATAATGTGCTTTTATTGCATAACACTTGCTGCTTCTGAGATGGGATATGGGTAAGGTCGGGAACGGGAACCAGAGCCATTTTTTATTTTATTTTATTTTTTTTATCAAATGCATTTATTAAAGAGCCATTGGGTGTGTGTGTACATAACAAAACCTTTATTTATGTCCATGCCCAACTCAAAAATAAGCAAATATGATGCATCACAATGTATTAATAAAGGACAATTTATAGTTTAGAGTTTATAGCAGGGGTTCTCAATTGGTTTGGCCATGGGACCCATATTTTGCTTTCAGTTTCGGGCTTTGATGCGTTTTGCACTCACACTACAAACGTACCGCGCCAAAGCCCAAGTGAACCGCACTCAGGCCCGCCTCTTCCAACCGGGCCAGGGCCAGCCAAGTGAACCGTGCTTGAGCCTGATTCAGCGCACTCACACTTCTCAAATGATCCGGGAAACGGGCCTGGCCACGGTACGGATGGCATAGTGTGAGTAGGCCCTCAGTCTATTGTTTACACAACAGAACGCTAAGCATTGACAGGTGACTTTTGGTGTAATTTTGCGCTGAACACTTCTTTATTGCATTGCATTTTTGCTCTGCATGATTCTTTCTGTCATAGAAGTGTACTAAGCCATAGCCATATCACCACAGCTATCACCCTGCAGCCCAAGACCGGTTACTCACTGAAGCTTAGCATTGCTGCGCCTGGTCAGACCACATAGAAAAACTAGGTTGTTGTTGGAAGTGGTGTTAGAGAGAGAGAGTCCTAATGCCCCAGTAAAATTGAAGGGGGCACTACACTGTCAGTGTTCGCCGTCTTTCGGATGAGTTGTTAAACCGAAGTCCTGACTCTCTGTGGTCATTAAAAATTTGTCCTGGCCAAAGTATCTCAATCGGCCCTTACCCATCATGGCTTCCCAATCATCCCCATCCACTGAAATGGCTCTATCACTGTCTCTACACTCCCAATAGCTGGTGTATGGTGAACGCACTGGCGCCGTTGTCCTGTGGCTGCCGTCAGATTATCCAAGTGGATGCTGCACACTGGTGGTGATGTGAAGAGGCCACCCTCATGATTGTGAAGCGCTTTGGGTGTATGGCCATACACAATAAATGCACTATGTAATACACATTACATAAGGACTTTGTGACAATGTTATGTGAGTTATGCGATCAATAATGTAATGTGTTTTTAAAAACAAATAACCAACATTTTTCATGCTATTTCAGGCAAAATAAATCATCTACCTCTGAAAGGGAATAGCCAATTTTTTAAGTGTTGCAAAAAATAAATCAGACATTTAACATTTAACAGACATTTGACAATGAAATTGACCGTAGTGTATGAGTGTGAATGAATGTGTATGGGTGTTTTCCAGTACTGGGTTGCAGCTGAAAGGGCATCCATTGCATAAAACATATGCTGGATAAGTTGGTAGTTTATTACACTTTGGTGACTTTTGAAATAGAGACTAAGTCAAGGAAATTAAATGAATAAATGAATATCAGCAGCACTTTACTGAATAATTTCATCAACCTGAAAACATCAAGAACAATCGGGAAAACAAACAAAGACACTTGAAAATGAGTGTGGAAAATACTTTGCTGTCTTATTGCTTTCTGAACAATCCTGTAGTCATGCAGTATTTCAGAAACTATACTAAAATTAGCTCAGATTCTTGCCCAGCATGTCCACTCTGCTGTTTCCAAGATGTGCATTGACATGTAGCTGCATTGCTTGATGTGCTGAAAAGTCTTTCTGAGCATGTGCTAATGGCAGCCACACAAAGAAACTTTTATATTAAATCACTCATTTATTGCAAACCATTGCGATATGTACAATAATACAACATGTGCATTTCAATCATTTCAATATTTCAATCATTTCAATATATTAAACAGCCCTAGTGCGTATTCACACTGCTATGCTTTAAAGATTCCACACTTGTTTTCACGATGTTGTGCTTTGATTAACTGTGTGAGATTTACACTGTAAACTGTGTTTGACTGGTATGAGGACGCTCTCATTGACTCGTCTGTGTTGTTTTTGTCTCATGCAGGACGGTGCATTATGAAGGTGGAGCAGTGTCCATCCATGCCAGATCCCTCTGGAGGCTGGAGACGCTTCGAGTCGCGTGAGTTTATCAGACACTGGAGAGGATTGAAGTGCACCATCACTCATATCTGTACTGCAAATGGAGTTATAAATCTCCGCTTTATGGTGCATAATGTACAACGCCTGCAGAAAGTCAATTAAATTCATGCTTGCATTTCGTTTGAATCAATTTTTATTATTTACATAAACCATTCGAGTGTTTGAAATGAGGGCATTAATAAGAGGGCTGTATTTATGTAATCAAAAATCCTGTAACAACAGGAATGTGCTGAAGTTTTTGTTTTCTGTGTTGATATATAGTAAAGTGTGTTTTATTTGCTGTGATATAGAGGTCTGTAGGACCCGACCAGATTTCTTGCAGCATGGGAATAAATTTCTGAATTAAGCGCGGGAGCGTTTGGTAACTGGTGTAATTTTGGACGGAAGCGGGCGGTCTAACAATATCGCTCCCGACTCCCACCGGAACGGGCGCGGCGGGTAGGAAACGTAGCGGGTCGGGCAGCGGGACAACAAATGCTGAATATAAGCGGGCGCAGTCGGGTTCAGGCTAAAACCTACCAGGAGCAGGCAGGAGCGGGATTCAAAATTTAGTCCTGCGCAGATCTCTACTGTGATGTAAAGCTCTATTTTACTATCATTACTCCAGTCTTCAGTGTGACGTGATCCTGTAATATAATGACTGGATGATCAAGAAACATTTCTGATTGATATCATCTGTTACTGTGAGGATGCTGGACAACATGTGTAGTTTTTTAAAATTAATTAATTAATTAATTGATGTATTTGTTTATTAAATTGCCTTTATTATATAGGACAGTATTGAGACAGGAAGCAAAGTTGGAAAGAGAGAAGGGGGTAGGGCAAGGAAATGTCCCAGAGCCGTGATTCGAACTTGGGACTCCCTGACAAGAGCAAAACAGAAGGATAAAGGTTATCCAAGTTCGTAGTCAAAAACAGGTAAAAGGTCAGGCTAGGCGGCAACGAATCAAGAACGGGAAAACAAGGCAAGGATCTAAACATGGAAAGACTAGACAGGCTTAATGCTTCGTTATGCTACAGGATAACCAAACAACAAGACTCAGCAAAGTGTGTGTGTCAGTGGCGTAGCGCTATATGCAGGGGGCCCCCTGCAAGGATCACTGACGCGGCCCCCTGATGTGTGGGGTGGGGGGGGGGATTGGGATGGTGTTGAGCGATCACAAACTGAGGGGACTTGGAGAGTAGGTGGAGCGACGACGCTAGGAAGCGATCATAAATTTAGGAGTGTGAAAGGGGGGCGGGGTGGAGTGACAATGCGGGGAAGCCTTCACAAACTGAGGAGCGGAAAGGGGGGCGGGGTGAAGCGACGATGCGGGGTAGCGTTCACAAACAAGCAGCGAGAGCGTCAAAGTAGCCGGAAGTCATTCATTTTTTAATGAGAACTTGTGGCGAGGAGCAGCGTGGCGCGTCTTCTCTGGCAAGGGCGTCGAGGAGGACTTGAAATCAAGTCAACTTTATGGTAATGAGCTATGACGCAGTTCGGCGGCAAGCAATCAGAATGAAGTAGTCCACCTTTTGAGAGGAGTTCAGAGAACACAGACCTGTGAACTTTGGTTCCGACCACAGTTGTTCCCAGGGGTTTGATTATTGCGATTGCTGGATTTTCAATTATTGAAAATCGCGACGACGCGGGGCCCCCTAATCACGCGGGGCCCCCCCCGCGGAGCGTGCCCTGCGGGCCCGTCTGCTACGCCACTGGTGTGTGTGTGTAAGAGGTAAATATAAAGTCCAGGTAATCAGTACATGATAAGTTACCAGCTGTGTGTGTGTACGAGAGATCAGTGGATGAACTGTAACTGGTGTGTGAGTACATGTATGATGGGATTTGTAGTTCATTTGTTGGCTGATTTGTAGTTCTCCAGTGATCTGCATGGGCTAGATCGCTGGCGATTGTGCCGTCAGTGTTGTAAGCAGTCTGCTTCATATTTCTGTGTAAACACTGATGCATTTTATTTTTCCGAACTGGAAATGATAGAAATTCATTCGTTTTGTTTTATATTTCACACATTTATCAAAGTATGAGAAAAACAAACAATCCCACAATCTATCAACACTTGCTCCGAATATATTAATAATTGTAATTCCTAACATTTATATTGCGCTTTTCTGAACACTCAAAGTGCTTTACACATAGGGGGGATCTCCTTATTCACCACCAGTGTGCCGCATCCACCTGGATGATACGACGGCAGCCATTTTACGCCAGACCACACACCAGCTGATTGTCGGTGAAGAGACAAAGTGATGAAGCCAATTATGATATGGGGATGGTTAGGAGGCCATGATGGACAGAGGCTAGTGGGCAAATTGGGCCAGGATGCCAGGGTTAAACCCCTACTCTTTTTCGAAGGACATCCTGGGATTTTTAATGACCACAGAGAGTCAGGACCTCGGTTTAACGTCTCATCCAAAAGACGGCGCTCACTGAGCAGTATAGAGTCCCCGTCACTATACTGGGGCATTAGGACCCACACAGACCACACGTTGGGCGCCCCCTGCTGGCCTCACTAACACAACTTCCAGCAGCAACCTAGCTTTCCCCTATGGTCTCCCATCCTGGTACTGACCGGGCGCAGCCCTGCTTAGCTTCAATGGCCGACCATGTGAGAGTTGCAATATTAAATGTGATGTTTTGGACTAATGAAGGTCAGGAGGCTGAAACATTGCGTTTTATAAATTTTGAGCAAGTAATTTTGTGTGGGATTGTTTGTTTTTCTTACTCTTTAATATGTTTTTTCTACATTTTCTACTTTTGTTTTCTATATATTTCTTCTCCACACATATTGTTTCTTCAAGTGTGCTGGGTTTAGACTGAAAAATTTCACAAATTAAAAAAAAAAATTCACCGTTAAATAATCTGGATTAGACCTGCACATTATATTGCAAATCATCTTAATCACGATAATAAATGCAATACATGTATCCCAAATATAAATATAAATGACATTATTTTATGCATTGGTTATCTAAATTTGACCAATCAGATGAATTCTTACGCTCTGTATCCCCGCCTCCCCAGTAGTTGCTGTTTTGCTATCGGCAGGAGCGTAGTAAAGGTGAACCCAGAGCTGAAAATAAACACTAATGGCAATCTGTCGCAATATCTTTTAGTGTTTTAAGGACTGAATGTTTTAAACTTAACACCATTTTTAGTCTCAAAAATAAGTAAAGTGTTATACAACATAGCTAATAAATATAGCATTTTTCTAAGGAAATGTTATAAGTAGTATCGTTATCGCAATACTCAACAACAGTATTGCTTATATCGCATATTTCCCCAGTATCGTGCAGCTCTAATCTGGACTCTGACTTCATGGTTTTTCACTGATTTACCTCCAAATGAACCTGCAGACACATTTAGTTGTGCTGAGTTTCATCGTGTGTGCGTGTCCGTACCTATGATGCTGCAGTGATGACATCATGAGGTCTGATGCATTCCATCATGTTTGACCTTCTGGCATCAGCGGCGTTTGTTCCCATGAAGCCTTTAATTACACTCCGCAGGACGTCGCTCTTCTGCTCGAGTTCTGCTCTTCACACACTAAAAATAATCAGAGGACGCTGAAGCTGGAAGTGTTTTATCAAACTGGCATTTTGGGGTTTAGGCCAAATTCTGGAGCAGCACAGTTTCACTTTTTGCTTTTGAATCGCAAGTGAATGTCTGCCGAAGTTTACACTGTGAGCTTCATTTCAGCAAAGACATGAATCTGATCAGTTCACACTATAAAAGCACAATAAAAGTATCATTAAGCTCATGACTCATGCACTGTAATTAAAGTCAGTGTGTGAGAAATAGACTTTAAGTGAAGTCAAGTCATCTTTATTTCTATTTTTAAAAAGCAGTTTCACAGTAATATGACTGTTAAAGTTGACATGAAATGGATGTAGAGATTTTTCTGCTATAGTGACGTACATCAACTTGAAATGGTTCTTATGAGAAAATAATGTAGGTTGGTGCATGATTTTGTTCTTTGAGAACCAATTAGCCCCACCCTTAAGGACTGATAGCCCCACCCTAAAGGACTGATAGCCCCACCCTAAAGGACTGATAGCCCCACCCTAAAGGACTGATAGCCCCACCCTAAAGGACTGATAGCCCCACCCTAAAGGACTCATAGCCCCACCCTAAAGGACTGATAGCTCTGCCCTAAAGGACTGATAGCTCTGCCCTAAAGGAATGATAGCTCTGCCCTAAAGGACTGATAGCTCTGCCCTAAAGGACTGATAGCCCCACCCTAAAGGACTGATAGCTCTGCTCTAAAGGAATGATAGCTCTGCCCTAAAGGACTGATAGCTCTGCCCTAAAGGACTGATAGCCCCACCCTAAAGGACTGATAGCTCTGCTCTAAAGGAATGATAGCTCTGCCCTAAAGGACTGATAGCCTAACCCTAAAGGACTGATAGCCTAACCCTAAAGGACTGATAGCACCACCCTAAAGGACTGATAGCCCCACCCTAAAGGACTGATAGCTCTGCCCTAAAGGACTGATAGCCCCACCCTAAAGGACTGATAGCTCTGCCCTAAAGGACTGATAGCTCCGCCATAAATGACTAATAACCACACCCTAAAGGACTGATAACCCCAAACTAGGGACAACCCTCACCCAAACCGAACCCTAACCCCAACCAAAGGGCATAACCCTAATTATTCTAAGCAATTTGAGAAAACGAAAGTGCTCGCCTAACCCAAACTCGTAACCCTAATTGTCAAAGGACAGCCCTCACCCACACCAAACCCTAAACCCAACCAAAGGGCAAAACCCTAATTCTTGTAAAAAGTTTATGGAAACGACTGCCCTCACCTAACTCGAACCCTAAACCCAACCCTAGTTCAAAAGGACAACCCTCACCTACAACAAACTCTCGGTAATTAAAAGGGCATAACCCCAAGCCTTCGGAAAAAACACACCAACCCCCTAACAACCCTCACTAAACACCAGAACCCAATACAAACAGATTGAGGATCTGGTCGACTTCCCACCACAAATTGGCAGTAAGACACTGGCCTGGAATTGATCAACCAGCGCTGATCGCCTCAGACAAGGGTGTCTAGTGTTTAAAGAATCGAAATGCCCGATGAATCTGAGGTACACTACTGACGAAGTGTCTTAAATATTTCCCTCTCACAACTGGTCTTGAGGGAGTAACAAACAGAAATAAATCCCAAACCTAACCCATCAATCCCTACAGCATCCGCCCATCAAAACCATTCCAAAGACGTTGAAACATGGTGCAACAGCCAATAATCATGACACAAAAACACTTCCCCTCATCAAGTCTCAAGCCCAAAGCCCACAAACAAGGCTAACCCTCCCACACAGGAGGGGGAAGAACAACGCTCTTATGGTATATAGTCAGACAAGCGCGGGCCCGTGCACGCTTCCTCAATCTCCCTACTTCAAACCTACCTAGACTAGTGCTAGGATGGGGGGAGTTGTTGTAATTCTTTCAAACCCTAACCCTAACCCTAACAACTGATAATGTGAAAGACATTATTATTTCCCACTGACTGCGACTATTTTTGCCTAAAGGACTGATAGCTCCATCTTAAGGGACATAACCATGCCCTAAAGGACTGATATCTCTGGCCTAAAAGACTTATAGTTCTGCCCTAAAGGACTGACAGCTCTGCCCTAAAAGACTGAAAACCGCGCCCTAAAGGACTGACAGCTCTGCCCTAAAGGACTGAAAACCGCGCCCTTAAGGACTAATAGCCCCGCCCTAAAGGACTGATAGCTCTGCCCTAATGGACTGAAAGATCCACCCTTAAGGACTGATAACCGCACTGTAAAGGACTGATCGCTTCGCCCTTAAGGACTGAAAGCCCCGCCCTAAATGACTTATTACCCCGTGCTAAAGGACTCATAGCTCTGCCCTAAGGAATTCTACGTGACCAGGAAGTGATGAGTCATTTTGAGGGTGACGGAAGGTTATGGTATTTGATTTTTTTCAGTTTATGACAGCAAATTCATTTTTATAAAGTAATAAAGTGTGCAGATACATTGTTTATAACAAGAACTAACGTATACATATAAATAGAAGAAGAGTATATTTTGATTTCATGGCGAGTTTTAAGGGATAGTTCACCTGAAAATAGTTCACTCAGTCATCCTTTACTTTCAAATTTGTTTAAGTTTCTTTCTTTTGTTAAACACAAAAGAAGATGTTTTGAAGAAGGCTGGAAACCTGTAACCATTGACTTCCATAGTATTTGTTTCTCCATATGGATGTCAGTGTTTTTCAGCTTTTTTCAAAGTATCTTTTTTCGTGTTCAGCAGGAGAAAGAAACTCTTAAAGGTTCAGAACCACTTGAGGTTAAGTAAAAAGTGAGTACAATCTCGTTTTTTTTTGGGTGTACTGTCCCTTTAAGACCCAAAAAGAAAAGTGCTGATCATCTGCTGGTGTAGTTTTTGTGCCTGTCCTGCAGTGCATTATGGGTATTTCTTTCTGTGTTCAGGTGGAGTGGCAGTCATATCCGCTGGGGTCAACCGTTCCGCCTGCGTCACGTGACCACCGGCAAATATCTCAGCATGATGGACGATCAAGGGCTCCTGTTAATGGACAAGGAGAAAGCGGATGTTAAATCCACGGCTTTCTGCTTCCGCTCCTCAAAAGTGAGGCTGACCTTACACACTCATTAGATATTGAATTTGAAGTAGCAAAAGGGAATTGATAAAATAATAAGAATAATTAATAATACCGTACATTTATACAGCAGTTTTCTGGGCACTCAAAACACTTTACACATTGGGGGGTGGGGGGGATCCACCACATCCACCACCAGTGTGCAGCATCCACATGGATGACACCATAGATATATACACTAGATATCGCATAGGGACCCTGAGCATGCGTCAATAGCGCCGCCACATTGGTACAGTGCTCCCAGGACAAATGTCATTCAACCGCACTAGTCAAGACAGTGTTATAACGTGAAGATGCGGGACTTTAGCGCTGTCTACGGGTGTAGTAACGAGCAAACAAAGAAAACAAAGCACAAAGGCAGAACATTTCATAGGTAATATTACGTCTTTCTCTGTTTTTGTATGTTCTGAACTTTTGTGCTAATCAGGTAACGTTATTGATGATAACAGTCACTTACTGCATTCACCATACGGCAAAGCAGCTCCAACTCGCACTAAACACTCGGCTTATGCTAGTTTTGTTGAATAAAATCAGCAAACAATGCAAAAGAAATATGACAACGAGATGCTGCGCTGCCAGAAACTTGCATTATTGTCGGCTAACGTTAGTGAAAGAGTCGTTCGGGGGATTCATTCACAAACGAATCGCTCCCTCCGTCAGTATGAGCAGTGAAAGCAGGAGAGGAGCTGTGTTTCAGGACATGATTAGATTAAATTTAACAGGGAGGGTGAATAGTACATTTCTGTACACACAAACACAAGCTTTTTGTCAGGAATGCCCGTGCGGTCACTGATCCATCAATGTAGAAAAGTGATGTAAAATTATAATTTTTGTAATTAGAAAAAAAAATGACATACTAACATCCAGGAAAGCTCCCGATCATAGATATGTGTGTATATGTGTATATCTCTGGCTTTGGATGGCCACAGTCCTCCACTGTACCTTGGTCCCGCATTCATTTCAAAGGAGTGCTACCCTGTAGCAAGATGGCGGCGCTATTGACGCATTCCGTCCAATAGACAACAATATGCCAGGCGACATCTAATGTATATATCTATGGGATGACGCGGTGGCAGCCATTTTGCGCCAGACCGCACACCAGCTGATTGGTGGAGAGGAGACAGAGTGATGAAGCCAATTATGGGAATGGTTAGGAGGCCATGATGGACAGAGGCCAGTGGGCAGATTTGGCCAGGATGCCCCCCACTCTTTTTCGAGGGACATCCTGGGATTTTTAATGACCACTGAGAGTAGGGACTTTGGTTTAACATCTCATCTGAAAGACTCACTGAGCAGTATAGAGTCCCCATAACTATACTGGGGCCTACACAGACCGCAGGTTGAGCGCCCCCTGCTGGCCACACTAATACCACTTCCGGCAGCAACCTAGCTTTCCCATATGGTCTCCCATCCAAGTACTGATATATATATATATATATATTGGAAACCCCCCCAATGTGAAAGACATTATTATTTCCCACTGACTGCGACTATTTTTGCCAAAAAGCCAGATAATTGTTGTTCAATAAGATTGAGGTGCATGGCTTTAAATTACTGACAAATAGCTGAAAATATGAGCGGTTGGGCTGTGTTTGTATGGAGATCCCAGTGTAGCTGCCATTACAACCCTCTGCCTGCCAGGTCTCCACACAGATCAAGTGACTGAATACTATCAAGTGAACACAGCTTAAAGCTTGCAGTTTTGTTTGTCTTTGGTTTAAATCAGTTTTGCATTAGAATTGTAAGGGAGGTGTTTTTTTTTAAATGAGCAGATTTGCTGTTTTGAGTGTTCACCCATGATCCTCTGCTGCTGCTCCTGCAGGAGAAGCTGGACTTCGGCCTCAGGAAAGAGATGGACGGTATGGGCGTCCCGGACATCAAATACGGTGACTCTGTCTGTTACATCCAGCACGTGGATGCTGGACTCTGGCTCACCTACCAGTCTGTGGATGCCAAGTGTGCTCGCATGGGTGGCGTTCAGAGGAAGGTGAGCTTACAGAAAAGGTGTGTGTGTGTGTGTGTTGATGTTTCCCAGAGATGGGTTGTGGCTGGAAGGGCATCCGCTGCATAAAAAACTTGCTGGATAAGTTGGCGGTTCATTCCGCTGTGGCGACCCCGGATTAATAAAGGGACTAAGCCGACAAGAAAATGAATGAATGAATTTATTGTGCTTAGAGCGGCTTCATAGTGATTTATATATACACATCAAGCCCTCTCACCTGTGTGAAGCACAAATGTTTTTCCAGAAATGTGGAGTGTTTATAAGAGTGTCTGATGCATGTGTAAAGGAAAAGAGTGTGTCTCCTACAGATTAATAATACACACATCAAACACTCAAAGCTTCATAAATAATGTTAAAGCCCAGACAAATTTAGCCATAATGTGTGTGTGTGTGTGTGTGTGTGTGTGTGTTTTAGGCCATCATGCATCACGAGGGTCACATGGATGATGGTTTGACGCTCTCACGATCACAACACGAGGAGTCGCGCACTGCTAGAGTCATTCGCAGCACCGTTTTCCTCTTCAATCGCTTCATCAGGTAACACTACTTCAAATTAAATTCATTAATTAAAACAAATTAAAACTCAAATAGTATATTAGTCACACCAAAAATTTCTGAGACTTAATTAATAACAAAAGTGGACTCATAAAGACCTCTAGTCCAGACTTACGAAGAGTTGTTCCCTCCGAGGACTTTGAGCACAATACAAACACTGAATCCACAAATACATTTCACTGACCATGTATTATACACTAGACATCTCCATTTCATAAGGACACTATATACTAAAGGTTAACTGTGTTTATATACTGTCCAGCCCAGGGTGTGAATTACAGGGAATTTTGGGAGGGAATAACCCCCCAAATTAAGCTTGATCATCCTGAAGGACGTCAAAACAACATGTATAGGGGGGTCAGCTCTTTAATATATGAAATAATTTGCTCTGCTCTGTATTTTAAATAATAAATGTTATTAATTAAAGACATGGATAATATAAATATACATTAGACCACCCCTATAATGGTTCATACCACTGTGAATGCATAATCAAGCCAATCAGTCTGCAAGAAACTCATTCACTCTGAAACTGGCAGATCTAGAGCAGCGACGTAACTGTTCACAAGAAGTTTTTTCATAAAATAAGTGTTTGTTTCTACATGCAGCCTAGAATTAAAGTCAAATTAGATGGATAGTTTAACTCACAGTGACCTCAGAAGTAGCTAATCAGAGGATACGGTCAAAATACACTAAATATTCC